TAATATTTCACTGTATGGCTAATACGACATTTTATTAATCTAATCGACCTTTGATTTGTTTCTGCTTTTGCTGTTAGTGTGAATAATTCTACAAAAACATTGCTGTACACGTTTCAAGACTTTTGTTCTCTATCTTCTTTGGTACGTCAAAGGAATTGTGTTGGTACAAGAGTTAGACACCAAGCTGATCACTGGGAGGTCGTGGTTTGAAGAGCTCTGGCAGTGTAGTCTGTGGGGAATTGCACTGCCACCCTGAAAATGATGTCTGTGTTGTTCAAATGTGCAGGAGCTTTTAAGGAGAAAGATGGGCCCCCTTCCATGTGATTTACAGCCTCGGAAAACCAGCTGGAGGCTTAGACATGAGTCACTTCTGACTCAGTGACAATCTATTTGAGTTGGAGTTTGTGTGCTGTGTGCGAGAAAGATATGGAACTCTGCTTCCCTAAATACCCGCCTTGGAAACCTTATGGTTCTCCCTCAGCCTGTGGAGACTAAGGTACAATTGACTCAATGGGAAGAGTTTTGGTTAGATTTTTTTTTTTACCTTTGAGTGGAATGGGGTGTCCAGATGGCGTGCTGGTGGTTGAGCTTTTGTCTGCTGGATGACAGTTCATTGCTCTGAGCCTAACAGATGCTCCGTGAGAGGAAGATCTTGTAGAATGTGCCTTATTGTTGTTGTTAGGTGCCATCAAGTGGAACAGGACTCAGCGACCCTATGAACAACCCCTCTGAACCCTGTCTTACCCTGTGCCAGCTTCACCATCTCTGACACACTTGAGCACATTGCTGAAGCCACTGTCTCTGTCCACCTGGTTGAGGGTCTTTCTCTCTTTAACAGACCCTTCAATTTTCCAAGCACGATGCCCCTCTCCAGAGAATAGTTTGTAACAACATACCCAAAGTATGTGAGATGAAGCTTTGTCATCTTTGCCCCCCAAGGAACACTCTGCCTGGACTTTCTCTAAGCCTGATCTGTTTGTTCTTTTGCCAATAGTATTCTGGCAGAATACCACCTTAGAAACATTATGAAGCCGTTCTACTCTTTTTGTAGGATTGATGAGAATTGGCATCAACTCAACAGCAACATTTTTTGTTTGTTTTTTAAGAGTAGAATGTCAGAGTGTTCCATTTCTCTTAATCAAAATCTTATTCATAATCCAAGAAGAAAAGGAATGAGCTAAATGTGGCTGCACTAAGATCCAGCATGGGTCTGTGATGGCAGAGGAGCTGATAGGAGCTTTGGTCTCATCATTTTACTCTTGGATTGTCATGCGTGCGTTCTTAGGGTGCTCACACGCACCTGTGTGGCTTTGCTTTACAAAACCCCGTGGCTGCTTGACTTGCTAGCACGCTGTGTAAATACTCTTCTGCTCTCAAAACTCTCTGGGCTTCACTGGTGCAAGGAAGAGTATAGTCCTGAACACTGAAGCTGTGTTAGACATGGCAGAGTTGCCATTTGGGACTATAGTCACCAGAAAGGACCTGAACAGTAAGAGGATGTGCATGGTGAGGCCCCTGCAAGGCCTGGCTTATATGAGCACCACCATCAAGAACAGAGCTTCAGAGCTCTGGTGGCCTAGTGACAAGAAGCTGTGCTGTAATCCTGAAGGCACATGGTTCTAATCCACGAGATGCTCCAGTGGAGAAGGATGGGCAATCAAGTGAAGGTCCAACGTGACCATGCACACAAAAAAACCAGAAAACAAGTTGCACATGTTGGACGATGACTAATGATGATTGACGAAGAAGAGGTGCCTTTTGATTGTAATGTTGGCGAAGACTATTGAATAAATCACAAAAGAGGCCAAAGAAACACACAGTTCTGCCTTGGAAGAAATGCAGCCAGAGTTGCTTCTTAGACAAGGAGGTGAGACTGGTCCCACATCCTGCGGACACGTTGTCTGGAGAGGCTGCTTGATTAAGTAGAAAGTCAGTGGAAAAGAAGGCCTCAGGAGATTGCAGCAGTGGCCATTGAAGCAGTGGCCCAAGCACAGCAGGATGCCACCTGGTTTGGCAAAAAGCCTTGTAGATGCTCTTAGGTTAAGAATTTTGAGGAATTCAGGGTCATCCTGGATTATCCGGGTAGACTGTTTAAGTTACTTAGTGCTGTTATCACACAAATCTCACAAGTGGGTGGGGATCAAGAGCAAGAATGGATTAGGTTTAGGTATCGTGGTTTCGGAGGTTGCATGGAGCATTGGGAAATGAGGAGCTGGGTGGGCAGACTCTGTGGCCTGAGGCGTTCCTGGATGTTGGGGCTCCTGGCTGTTACTCACAGCCTCTCCTCCCTCTGTGTTTGTGCCCGAGTCTGTTCTACCTTTTTGTTCTAAAAAAATTATTTTGTGTTTTTGTTATTGTTGAGAGTACACACAGGAGGATGGACACGCATCATTTCAACCGTGTGTGTGTGTGTGTGTGTGTGTGTGTGTGTGTGTGTGTGTGTGTGTGTGTGTGTGTGTGTGTGTGTGTGTGTGTGTGTGTGTGTGTGTGTGTGTGTGTGTGTGTGTGTGTGTGTGTGTGTGTGTGTTTACTACATTTTATTGTGTCAGATGAGTGAGGGCTCGGGCGACAGTGGGGCACACTTGGTCCTTCTTGACAGCTGCCTTCCTCATGGCGGCCAGGACATTGCTGAGCTTTTCTCATTTCCTCTTGGCAGGGATGTGAGTTCCCTCCCTTTTTCTGATGAACTTGAGGGCCCACTTGTCCCTGGAGACCTTGAGCAGCTCCATGGCGTGGTGCTCATAGGGCGTGAAGCCACGTACCTCCCAGATCATGTCTCATGTGAACCTCGGGTGCTGGTGAGGCCCCCAAGGTGGTGGCTGGGCCTCACTTGCTCACGTTCTTGGTGACTTTGTGGTTCTTGTTGAGGGCCATGGCCATGGGACAGCACACAGCCATGGCTGCCGTGTGGTCAACCATTTCTGTATGCATCGCTCAGAGACAGTTACTATATTCCTTTGTTGTTGTTGTTTGAAGCTGTTTACTGCTTTTAAAAAGAATTTGTGTCTTCTAGGTTGCAACACCCCCATGATACATCTTCAAGGATATGAACATGTACGGCCAAGCCCAATCAATAAGAGTGCATCTAAAT